AGCATTTTTCGATGCCTGTAGTGTAGACGGGCCGTAACCCTAACACCAGATACTGACTGGTTTTCGGACCCCCCCAGACCCCCCCAATAAAGCAAAAAATGCACGTTTCAGAGTGGCCTTTGGATGGATTATCTCGGCAAAGGAGAAGTGCTCACTCTCACAGATTTTTTCAGATTTGTGAACAATATTTGAGAGAAATGGTTATTTTGTGTATATAGAAAATGTTTTAGATCTTTGAGTTCATCTCATGAAAAATGGGAGCAAAAACAAAAGTGTCGCATTTATATTTTTGTTCAGTGTAAAATAATGTACAACTGTAGGTGGAAATGCATCCCTCAACAAGTACTTTCTCATAAGCAGAGCAAGATTAGTCCTTTCGTTTTTTAGCAGTTTGTATCTTTCAATTCATCTGCATTTTTTTTTAAAGGCGGTTTCTACAACTCGAATACAAACATTTTGTATTTGTTATCATCAACACATTAAGAGGGGATCACCGTTAAAGACAGCCAAGAAAAACAGTTTAATTAATTGATCCCTGGTTCCCATAGTGACCCCTACTTGTTAATTATGCATTACCTTCGCTTCCTTCCTGATATTCATTTTCATTTCCTAGACGCTTGTCATTGTTTTAGAGTACCAAGGTTTGTTCTGCAATTTCCTTAGTCAGAGTCTTCCAATGGAAAAATTAAAGGTTTGAGTTTGCTGTGTAAACAAACATAATATTTTACAATTTATAATATTTATGTCTACAGTTGAAATTATCTGAATGTCTCAGCTCTCAGGAATGCTTCCTTGTATATTGCTCTGCCAGTGACCTTTAAGGTTTATTTAGGCCCTGATTTCCTATCAACCACACTTTACAGGGCTTTGCTATCATACAACAGAGAGGATCAGGTGCTTTCCAGAACTTATCAAAACATGCTTTATGTCTCATTTCATTAACACTGGCATCCCTCCTGGAAAAGCACCAAAAAAAAGCATTTGTAAAGTACAATAGTGGGCTGCACAGACAGAGCAGACGAGAAAAAGCAGCAGAACATTTATTATAGGAATGAAAACAAAACTTCCATTGTAAAAGAAAGAGAATAAACGTACCTTGACTAGTATTGGTTTTTATATCGTTCAGTACTTGACCTTTGAATATGTGACATGATATATTTTCAAGCTGAACAGTGTTGGAGGAAGCCTTTGAGAAATCATGCGTTTTGTCATCAGCAGTATGTGAAAGCTTACTTACTGTATGCTTACGCACTTTTCTGTGTGAGTAAATATGTGTGCATTTTGTGTTCTGTATGTAGGTATAATCTGTGTAAAACCACTAAATATTAACAGTTTCAAGGAATCATTTGTCATAATCCATCTCACGTTACTGTTATTAGCCCTCCATAGCAGTGAAGGAATTCAGAGAAACAGTCCCACCATTTCCTGTCAAGAAGGATTACTAATAGTAATACACGGTATGTGTAGACGCACCTATACAGTACAAGTACATACTTGCACACTAGGCCAGCTTATAAAGGGAATATGACCATTACATAAATAAATCATTCTTTACCGAGGAGGCGTGAAGGGTTGTTGAACATGTCCTGACGAAGGAGGTGACCTATTTGTATCATACTATAAATGATTTGTTTGCACTCATGCATCATCTTCTTTGCTATCCAGAGATATAATAACTGCTTTTTCTTTTACAACCGCCGACCTATGGACCGTGTAGTCGTACGTTGTGGACATAGTCCTGCTTAACCTGTGGCTCCAAGACGATTTGTTGTGTCTGAGTCAGCCTATCCAAAATATCCTCATAGCACAGCATCTTGTTCGAGGTCACTAAGTTAAATGTATCTTGTGACATCTTGTAACATGCCAAAACCTTTGTGTTCCCCTTTTCCGTCTATTCTAGTATGTCACTCTCTTTGTTAATAGCAAACACATATACAATTGATCAGTAATTGCAGTTCAAGTGAGTTTATTGACAGACAACATTGAAATTCAAAGTGATTAAAATCATAAGTTGTCCAGGATGAATTCCAAAATTGAGCAGTGCTTCAGTTTTGCCGAAAATAACTCTGTTAGAGACCAGCGCCCACCTCTAGCCCTCTTCAGGCAGGTCCTTTAACTTTAGTCTTTTGATTCTGATTGACTTATTCAATGTTGACTTCCATTGTTTATTATCAAATGTTATCATTTTAAAAAGTAAAGCTTAAGAAACTGTGAGACATTAAGAAACAGCTCAGAGATCTTTGTTTACAGGATTATGTGTTGTTATCTTTCAGATAGCTGTGCCATGTGATGAGAGTTTGCAGGGTTACCATGCCCACAGACAGAAAGATCAAGAAGATAAAAGAGAGGGACAAGGGAATCGTTTCAAGCCGCCTCATATGATTGTTGGGTCACAGGGAAAATAGATGCCAGTATTTTCCTTTTAAGAATTTTGTTAGAGCAGAGTTTCAGGAACTTAAAGTGGTAATAAACTGAAGTAGTACCTACTCGAACCATAGAAACTTGGCTAGACACTAAATGTAACACATTTCATCGTAAAGCTGGCCCTTGCAGCTTTCTCTTAATTTGCCTATATCCATTACACAAAGGCAGGTCTATATTTGGACCTATAGTAGCTTATTTATTGATAACAAAAAGGTTACATTTACACACAAACACACACACACCCTATACTGTAAATATTATTATACAGAACTCACTTAATAATTTTAGACTTTTGCTATTTGATTCTTTGTTATTTTTCTACATTCAATTCAGCTAAATTCATCACAAACATGTGTAAATGAAATTGGTTAATATTGTTTGCTGTGTATGCACATTGTTGCTTTTTGTTGCGTGGAATTTGGCTCATCACATGTCATTCTGTGTAGATGTGCAGCGATTACAAAATAATTACGTTGGACATAAATATACCATTTACACTGCATTTTAAATCATCACTACACCAGCAAGCATCCCCCTGTGTACCTTTATTGATACAGGTTACACAACTAAGGGCTATTGTTCCTTATTTTGAACACAATAAAACTTGCCAATCTTTCATGCAATGCTAGGAACTGTTAAGCAGGAGTTATAGTTTTGCAAACATATCTTACGTTTTAAGTACCAGCTGTGCTCACCACAATCACTGTTCACGGAATGTAGGCTTTTGCTCAAACCCACCTATGTGAACAATTCAGACCTGCTTTTGTTCTGGTATCTTAACTATTTCAATACATGAATGAAAAACAGAAGAAGCTGATACATTGACAGAAAATTAGGATGACCAAAAAATAAGAAATGAACAACAATATCTTATAATAACAATAACTAATAAAACTCTTGCA